GTGTCAGTGTTGATTTGTGTGTATCAAGTGATCCAGCTGACTGGCTGACAATTGATGATAAACTGATTGAGTATTTACTAAACCATCCTCTTGATCTAAATTGTGAACAAGATGACTTCTCAAGATCTGCAAGAAGTGAAAATGTGGGTGAAAAGGAAAGAGTTCGATATGTGCCCAAATCCTTGTTTACACGTCAAATGGCAAATGATGAAAAAGTTAAAAGGGAATGGCTTGTGTATTCTCCAAAAACTGGAGATGTATTTTGTGTTCCCTGCAAGCTATTCATCAAGCAAGTCTCATTGTTTACTAGTGGGTTTAGCGACTGGAAAAACTGCCAGCATAGAGTTGCTGAACATGAAAGTAGCAAAGAGCATAAAATCTCAGTTACTACTAGGGGTGTGAGGGCAATTACAGCAAGGCGAATTGATTCCACTTTGGCTTTGCAACTAGAATTGGAGAGAAAATACTGGAAAGAAGTTCTATTACACATAATTGAAACACTAAAATTTATATACAGTATTACCCCGCTTAACGCGGTTTCGCTTAGCGCGTTTTACCGTATACGCGGTGCCTCGCCAGAGCCTAACTTTCACTTAACGCTGGTTTTTTCCACATATACGCGGTGAGTGTCCGGCTGGAGAGTTATTTTTAGATTCGCCCCACCCCCCACCCGCCACCCTGCCTGACTGCCTGTTTTAGCTCATAAAATTCATACAAATTATCGGGCCAGAATATAATTTACATTGCTGGAATTCTTACAATATGATGATCATTTTGAATATAAACATCATAGATTTTGCATTAGACATACAAATTTTAGATAGAATGTTTACTCTGAGTAAATATGTTATTTTTTGTGCAAAATATATGACATTTGTATTCAAAATATTCCTGGTCTTACAAGGATCCAGCAATGTCAATTATATTATCCTAACTTTAATCTGAGGTATTATTTAATACAAAATGTTAAAATTTAGTTTTTTCACCCAACATCTCTTGAAGGGAGGATTGGTGGGGGGTGGGGGGAGGGTTGGGACTGACCTCCGGTTGGAAGAGGGGGGGGAGGCAAGGTGGGGTACTTTGATTGACAGATAGTGTCTTGAAGAATATTTTTTTTTATTAACTGAAGGTATTTGTTTTAGCTCATAAAATTCATACAAATTACCCGGCCAGAATATAATTTACATTGCTGGAATTCTTACAATTTGGTGATCATTTTGAATATAAACATCATAGATTTTGCATTAGACATACAAATTTTAGATATAATGTTTACTCTCAGTAAATATGTTATCTTTTGTGCAAAATATATGACATTTATATTCAAAATATTCCTGGTCTTACAAGGAATCCAGCAATGTCAATTGTATTATCCTAACTTTAGTTTGAGGTATTATTTATTAAAATTTAGTGGTTTTTTCCCCCAAAATTTCACAGAGAGGGAAGAGCCAGCAGTGTAGTGTGAGAAGAGGGGGAGGGAGTTGAGTCCATTATTTGAATGGACATTAACTTGGCGACTGTATTTCTCTATTTCTCTTAAGTATTAATTGTGTGCATGTACCATCATAAAATTAAGATGCTATTTTTACTAGAACATAGGTATTGTGTCGGAAAAAGTGGAGTTTGGGGATCGGGCCAGTTTCTATTGGAATTAATCCCATATGTTCTGTTGTTCACTTAGCGCGGTTTCACTAAACACGGTACCCTGTGGGTTTTATTGACCGCGTTAAGCGGGGTACTACTCAATATATTGAAATATGCAAACATTTCTATAAATTAGGGGGCCCACTAATGAGTGGCCTGGGGCCCACAAGTAAGAAAATCCGGCCCTGATTCTACCTCCATCCTGAGTGTGAGATATCTTACGTGTACGTTTGTATGTGAGCCCATACAAAGAGATAATAGACAAGCAAAGAGAATTTGACAACTGGCTTTAGTGGATTCCTCCCCTACATGCTCCGTTTGTCGCTGAGTAGCCGAACCTTCTCGAATTCTCCAGCCTACGCCCCCAGCGCCGCCTGACTGAGCGGGGGTCAACTATCAACCCATGTCTACCCCCGCCATATAAGACCTGACACCGCTGTGACCACCCTCTTACTACCCACAGCCACCAGCAAGGAACGCCTCCTCCTCCTCCGCGTCAGCCTGGTGGCTCCCGCTCCCGCCGGCGACCTTGGCGTCACTCAAGCTGGTGTCCTCCTCTGGACACCCTCGACAACCAGCTCTCTCTACTCAACGCTTGTAACCACGCTGCCACTTCCCAGCACCAAGCTGCATTGTACATCCAATACAATATGTATACAGTGAGCACATTGTGAGTTTCCTTTCTCCATCCCATCCTGAGTGTGAACCAATATCTCATAACCCCACATGGCCACATACAGTACCTACAATATCCTTTGATGTTGATTATCCATTCATATTACTTTTGTGACATTATGCCCACCGGTGTGTTAATTAGCTATACTTCTATGTACCATACTCTCTCTCTCTCTCTCTCTCTCTCTCTCTCTCTCTCTCTCTCTCTCTCTCTCTCTCTCTCTCTCTCTCTCTCTCTCTCTCTCTCTCTCTCTATATATATATATATATATATATATATATATATATATATATATATATATATATATATATATATATATATATATTGTAGCGTACTGTGGGGTTATGTTGTATTTGGTTCGCACTCAGGATGGGATGGAGAAAGGAAACTCACAATGTGCTCTCTGTATACATGTTGTATTGGATGTACAATGCAGCTTGGTGCTGGGAAGTGGCAGCGTGGTTACAAGCGTGATGTAGAGAGAGCTGGTTGGTGAGGGTGCTCAGAGCAGGACCAGCTTGTGGGTCGCCATGCTCGCCGGCGGGAGCGAGGACCGCCAGGCAGGCGGAGTAGGAGGTGTTGCTGGCTGGTTGGTGTAGGTAGTAAGAGAGAGATCACGACGAGGTCAGGTCTTAAATAATAATAATAATAATAATTAACGGTTTATTGAAAGAGCTTGGCAGCCAGAAGGCTGAAAATATACAGTTACATATTTGGGGAATGGGTTTCGAATTACAAATAATATACAAGTAACATAAGTGACACAAATAAGACATATAATAACTAGGTGGAGAGAAGCTCAAACTACAGTTCATTTCAACATAGTGACAGTGCAAGGAGTAGTGTTTACTGGGAGTGAATACACTGGTTTATTACAAGTTATTGATAATTTTTACAATGGTTGGGACTGGGCTGTTCATATAGCGATCAGTTCGTGCACGTATGGGCTGGATGCGGTTGTGGTGTTGAACAGCAATTCTCGGACTAGGGATCTCAAGTGGTAGTAGGAGCTGGTGTCGAGGATGGTGTAGAAGCTTCTTACCAAATTTGCAGATGAGGTCGTGGTGATGGTCAGTGAGAGTCGAAAGGGTCAGTGTGTTGAGCGCTTCTTGATATGTGGAGTAGGAAGGGGAGAGAATAATCTTGCATGCCCTTTTTTGCACCTTTTCTAGGTGTTTACGTTGTGTGGCATTTAGGGAGGAAGACCAAGTGGGGGAGGCATAGGTGAGCTTGGGAAGTATGAATGTTGTGTAAACACTGAGGAGCTCGTGTGCAGGGACTCCGAGGGACTTGAGTCGGCAGAGGAGGTGGAGACGGAAACTGGAGGATTTGACAACTTCACTGACGTGTGGTTTCCAATTTAGTTTGTTGTCTATGGTGACGCCGAGGAGCTTCGTGGAATCTACAACCTGGAGTGTGTTCGGACCTAGAGTAATGGAAGGAGGTGGGACAATGTCGGAGGAGAGGTTGATGTGCATAACCATGGTCTTGGTATGGTTGATGGTGACATGGTTGTTGGTGGCCCAGTTTTGGAGACTGTTCAATAAATCCTGAAGGGCGGTATAGTCGGGAGCAGAATTGTTGACGCTGATCCCAATGGTGGAGTCGTCGACATATTTCCAGCGAGCAGGGGTTTCTCTTAGGGCATCATTGATGAGCATAAGGAAGCAGAGTGGTCCCATCTTGGTGCCTTGGGGGACGCCACAGGTGAGTGACTGAAAGGTGGAGACAGCCCCTCGGAAGCGTACAGCTTGGCGTCGGTCACTGAGGAAGTCTGTAAGCCATGGTATAAGACTTCTCCGAAGCCCGAGGTCAATAGCGGGGGTTGGCGTGGGTTAGTAGTTGATCCCCGCTCAGTGGGCGGCGCTGGTTGACCTACACCATGAGGCACACACTGTGGAATTCATGGGGTCGGCTACTCAGCGACAAACATTTTGTAGGGGAGAAATCCACTACACTGCCTCCAACTAATACTCCCTCACGCAAGCGGTGTTTAGCCACTGCACCCATTCTCTCCTCCTAAAATTCACTTCAATCCTCCCTTTATTCTTCCCCTGAACCTCCTTCCCCCCTGTCACTAGCATTTCATGTTCATGTTCAGGGAGACCATTCTACACTCGGCTACTGGACCAGCAACATCTCTCACAGTGCCTCACCACCCAGCTTCCTCAGAAACCTCCTCGCCCTACAGGACCTCTGAGCAAGTTTCTCCTCACCTAGTCACTCCTAAGCACTGCGCTCTACAACAATATATATACAGAAAGCGCATTGTGAGTTTCTATCCTACCTCATTCCTGAGTGTGAGATATCTACATGTACGTACGTTTGTGTGCCCATAATAAGAGAATTGACAACTGGCCACATACAGTACGCTACAATATATATATATATATATATATATATATATATATATATATATATATATATATATATATATATATATATATATATATATATATATAATGTATATATATATATATATAATGTATATATATATATATATCATTCTATCTATTTATATATATTAATCAGCTTAATTGTCTATATATCTATATACGGTATATATAAAGAGGGTAACATATGCTATTATCTGTACAGTTACCACCTAGGGTTAGGAGTAAATCTAGCGGGTTTTGGAGTCTCATTTAGCGGGAATGTAAACTTGTAGATGGCAACACTAGCTGATGCACAGGAACCATCTTACAAGTCACAACAAAGACGAGCCTGGCGGTACAAGTTGACCTACAAGGTTTATTTATTTATTAATATATATTACTTATAAGTTAACCGCCTATTGATATAAGCCGCCTGGGCGGTTGGTTTGTCCAGTGTTAGTACAGGAGGACACCTGTAGTGAGGATCATACAGGATAACACTTGTGTCCGGGCCAAGGAGGACACAGTGGTACAAGTTGACCGTCCAACTCTTACAACAAAACTCACAACACAGGTAACCAAAGTATTTGTTTACACAGTTGTGTTCCTGAAACAGTAACTTGAGGACATCTCAGCACACAAGATAGGTAATTTATAACTGAACATTTTGCCGTGACCAGCTAAGTTCCTACTAATGCTATTTTACCGTGAGTGCACTAGCCTCCGGCTCGGAAGTTAGGTAAACTTAGGCAGGTTTCTTTGGTTGGTTAGGTCAGGTTCTGGTAAATCTTTATAAGTGGATAACCATGGAGTATTTGTTTTTTATCTTTGCTCTTAACATTTTTATACAATCTTTAGACACTTTTCGGTAATTATATAGGACTAACCCGTGAGCGAAATTGATTGAAAACAATTTTAAAAACGCCGGATCTTCATTGTTATACTGTTGTACTTTGTGGAAAGATTAAAAAATGGATATTTTTAAAATAAACGCTATTTAACATTTGTGGGTTATGAAGAACAGACCTAACTAAACAAACCTACCTAACCTTACCTAACTTCCCCGGTATATTAAACAGAAAGAACTTACTATGATATGGTGATTTTTTAGTCATTTTGTGGACTTGAGATGATGCGCTATAGAGCCCTAGCAGGTTAGTTTTCTTTATTAACCAAGTTTTCTTCCAAAATGTTTCCCTCGCAAATGACCTAAAAATTACCTAACCTAACCTCATAACCGAGGGGCTCCGGTCCCCAGCCTATATAAGTCTTTTGCGAGGTCAAACGTCTTAGAAGAAAAGTCTTATAATTATAATTATATTCAATGGTTGTGTGAAAGTAAAATAATACCCCAGTTCTATTAGGTTCTAGTAAATGTTGCCTCTTTAATAACAAGTTTCCATGCTCAACATAATATGGTTAAGTATGTTTATAGCTACACAAACATCGTCTCACTGAGAAGTAAATGTCAAATGCCACCAGTCGCGGTCAGATATAGTTCTCCGTTGTTCCCCGGTAATGGATGATTAACCAATCAAAGCTCACTCCCGGTAAAATATCGTTAGTGGGAACTTAACGGTCACGGCAAAATATCCACCGACAATATATGAGGAAACTGCTCCCACCAGAAGGAGATGTTCGATTCTGTTACCCGGTAAGTTTTTCCACAGATGTTCTTATCAGGCGACAACTGTTTATTTTAAGTATCAGTATTTAGTTTTTTCTCTCCCATCATAAATCACCTGTAATGGGCAGGGCATGAAGGATGAGGGAAATTGCAGGGTAAAGCACGATGGAAAAACTGATCATATAACACTAATGTGGTGTCTGTATGTGCTTTGTAAGTGAATAAATATTTATTTACCGTAAATACTCTTAGAAAAATGTGCCAAGTCACCGCCTGTCATCTGTTTACAAGTGACCCGCTCGGTCCCAGCGTACTCTCATGTTAACAAAAAACCTAAAATTACAGCATGAGGCAGTAAATGACTGTGGCTTCTTTTTGTCATGAGAATAGTTTTTATGTATTTAGTTGTGTTTTACTCATATCTGACTAAATACACCCAAACAAATATTTACATAACTTCATCTTCTAAATCACTGTTTTAACCTAACCTAACCTAACCTAAGCTAACCTGAATTAAATTAAATATAACCCCCCCCCCCCAAAACCTGTTCTCATAACAAAAAGGAGCGTTAAATCAAGTGTGGGAGGGGCGGTGGAATTATCTTTCTGGCAATGGCACTTGTCTGCCTCTGTTTGCAGTCGGACTAACTCAAAAGTATTGACACCTTCTCGTTTGGTGCTCCTCGAAGCATTACGATGTGGAGTAATCGACTCCCAGGTGAGGGGGTCGATTTGGCACTTTTTCAGGTTTGTCTTAAGACTATCCTTATACCTTTTAAATTGCCTGCCGGCGTTACGTTTACTATTCCTTTGAGGACTGTAAAGTAGCTGCTTTGGCAGTCTACTGTCGTCCATGCTGGTAACATGGCCAGTCCAGCGTAGTTTTTCATGGATTATGGTAGCCTCGATGCTCCTACAGTTAGTGTCAGCAAGAATACTGGCATTTGTTCTCGGAGGATGGAACGTAGACTACGTTGGTGAAGGTTTTCAAGTGCCTTGAGGTGCCTCCTTTATGTCACCCATGTCTTGCTGCCATGCAGCAGGGTGGGGAGGACCTCTTCTCGATATATGTGGAAATTTGTAGACAATTTCAGCTCCCTACAGCTGAAGACATGGTTTTGGAGTCTGCCAAAGGCTTGAGATGCACATCTAATCAGATGCTGAACCTCTTCATCGATGTCCGCTGTGGTGGACAGGTGGGAGCCGAGATACCAAAAGTGGGTAACATTAGAGAGGGTAGTACTCTGTACTGTTAAGATGGATGGATGGTGGAGGTGTGTCTGAACCGAGGTAGGCTGTAAGAGAATCTGAGTCTTACGTACATTCACCTCGAGGCCAAAATGTGCATACTCATCTGCATAGGTGTTCAGGATCTCCTGTAGGTCGCGTTCAGTGTGAGCAACAAGGGTGAGGCCATCTGCTTACTAAAGTTCAGTAACTGAAGCTGCTGTTACCTTTGTTCTTGCCTGGATTCGTCTTATGTTGTAAAGACTCTTCATCCGGTACTCGATGTCCAGCTCGCCAACTAAATTGGCACTCGCACGAGTAAGGAAGGCAGCCAAGAAAATGGAAAAGAGAGTTGGTGCCAGTACACACCCTTGTTTAACCCCTGATTGGATGGGGAAGAACTCAGACTAGGTGCCATTGTGCAAGACATTGGCATTCATGCCATTGTGGAGGTGCCTCACAATGGCGATGAATTTTGGGGGGATCCAAACCGGCTGAGGGTCCACCAGAGGGCTTCCCTGTTGACTGAATTGAAGGCCTTGGTTTGGTTGATGAAAGCCATGTACAGGTCACGACACTGTTCTCTGCACGTTTCCTGTATCTGGAGGGCAGCAAAGATCATGTCAGTGGTGCCTCGTGATGGTCTAAAGTCACATTGAGATTCTGGGAGGAAGGTTTCTGCCTCAGGAAGAAGTTTGTTTAGGAGGACTCGGGCAATAATCTTGTCAGGTACGGACAGCAGCGAGAGCCCACGTTAGTTGCCACAGTCTGACCGATCTGCCTTGTAATTGGGGGATTTCCTCCTTTTCCCATATACGTATACTTCAGGAGAGAGTGGAGATGGCTGGTAAGTAGTGGACGTCCTGTTTTATACACCCACTCTGTGCTACACACACCAACACCACCCACACATCACACATACATGCCTACATCACACACACACTTTCCAACATCCACTCACACACACACACACACACACCCTACAACACCACCCACACACCTCTACACCACCCGCACACACCCTATCAACCACCTAAGTTCCTCCCACTAGCCTCGTGGGCTGGCAGATACATTTCTATTTGTTTAATTTGGTTCTGAATCGCTCTACCCAATGTTTATTATAATGGGAAAATCTTTCCCATTAATGGGGGGGGGGGGTGAGATTTCCTACCATGGCCATGTGTACCAGAGGATTAACCAAACTGGGACCAACAATTATTTTCAACACTGGCTGCAGTCTTCTGAGAACGTCACTATAGGTCGGTGACCCCGTCCTACGAGAAAGCTAACCCTGTTGTTCGCCCTTTGCTGTTATCCCTCCTTTAGTGATCGTTTTTATTAACATTAGGTATTTCTGGAGTGCAACCTGTACTGGTGTTTTGTGTGTGGGTGAGGTGTATCTTCAGTTATTTAAAGGAAGTCTCTTACTTATATTATTTCACTAATATGTTCTTCTTTATTTTCCACAGATATGGAGTGAAAAAAACAAATGACAGTGGGAAGAGAAGCAGTAAATTGTGACAACACTGATTGCCATGGACAGCTGCTAGTTTATTGTGCACCCCATATGGGGTAGAGGTCACAAAGGGTGTTTATCAGATCCCAGTGACCAGGATATTGTGGCATTGACTGGAAAACAGTTTTCCAGTACATTATTTGTTTAGTTCAGTGCAGTACTATATAGAAGTTTACTGTTTGCACTTGTCTGCTTGCTTCAAATTCATCACCGAGTTCTTGCCTGTTTACAGTGTTTGGGTTCTGTTTGACAATCCTAGATTATAATCAACAGTGACTTTGTTGGTCACGAATTTAGGAAAGGTAGAACATTATGTTGGGTGTAGCTGTTAAGAACAGTGGACATAGACAAAGTATTATAAACTGAACGAAAGAATTACAAGTAGACAAGAAATTATTATTCTTTGTGGAAATATGTTGTGAAGATCACCCCCTCATAAGACTTTTGTCACATGTAGTAAAAGTTTACCAGCCATCACAAGTACAGTAGTATATCAGCCTGAGTATTATTGTTTACCAGCCATCACAAGTACAGTAGTATATCAGCCTGAGTATTATTGTTTACCAGCCATCACAAGTACAGTAGTATATCAGCCTGAGTATTATTGTTTACTGTACATCAGAGGAACTGTACATATAACAATAATGTACAATATATAATTTTTGTACACTTCCCTGTTGAGTGTTTCTTTAGTGTATGTTGTAAGTCATAAACAGTGTGTGTTAATGACAAGTATAGTTATATGTGTAACTCATTCTTTACACCATTTTTCACATTTAGTTCAAAGAGGTATAGAGGAACCTTGTTAATAATGGTGTAGTCACATCACAAACTGGATCTTCCATCACACTTACCTCCTCACTGTCCTCCCATCTCAGCTTCATTACATCAGTGTCAGTAAATCACATTCACTTATTGATTTATGTTTCAGTTTTTATTGTCAAATATAATTAACAGTAACAAGACATTAATAGTTCTTGTAGGAGGAAACAGTTTGCCAGTTAAGTGTCACTAAAACTTTTGAACACACAATACACACAGTTTTATAATGGAAGGTCACTCAGAGGAACAGTCAGAGTCTCCCAGAGAATTGTCTGTAAAATCACATCAAGTAACACATGTGAAAGATCATACAGGAGAGAAGCCATTTGAGTGTTCAGAATGTTATAAAGGTTTTAAAAGACAACGTGATTTAGTGAGACATGTGAAACTTCATACAGTAGAGAATCCATTTCAGTGTTTAGAATGTTTTAAAAAGTTCTCAGATAAAATTTATCTCATAAATCATAATAAAGTTCATACAGAAGGGAAACCTTATCAGTGTGATGTGTGTCTGAAAAATTTTCAAAGTAAACTGCATATGTTGAGACATATGAGATGCCATACAGGAGGGAAACCATTTCAGTGTTCTGAGTGTCTTAAAGAATTTTACAAAAAATCTAACCTGGTGACACACATGGAAATTCATACAGAAGAGAAACCTTGTCAGTGTAATGTGTGTCTGAAAGAATTTAAAAGTAAACAGGATCTTTTGAGACATAAGAGTTGCCATACAGGAGAGAAACCATTTCAGTGTTCTGAATGTCTTAAAGAATTTAAAAAAAAATTTCACCTAGTGAGACATATAAGAGTTCATACAGGAGAGAAACCATTTCAGTGTTTACAATGTTTTAAAAGGTTCGCAGATAAAAGTTGTCTCATAAATCATAATAGAGTTCATACAGAAGAGAAACCTTATCAGTGTGATGTGTGTGTGAAAGAATTTAAAAGTAAACGGGATATTTTGAGACATAGTATGAGAATTCATACAGGAGAGAAACATCAGTGTTCAGAATGTCATCAAGGCTTTTCTAAAAGGTGTCTTCTAGTAAAACACAAGAAAGTTCACTCAGAAAAGCTTTTCCACTGTGTAAGATGCATGAAAGACTGTAAAGAGAAAGAGAGCTTAATATTACATGTAGAGAGATGTTACCAGACTGACCAAGTGGTCAATTCTAATCACTATGAAGGTGAAAGTTGCCAGGATTTGCACCATGACTTGAGCTTGTCTTGCCAACCAACAGTGGAGATGTGTGTTTCTGAAGGAGTGAAAAAGGAAACTAATTATGATCCACTCTCAGTCATTTGTGAGACAGAAGCTTCACCAGGGCCTGAGATAATTGACCAATCTTCTTTAAAGATGGAGTGCCTGGAAGAACTAGAATTTGTTAAGGAAGAATTCTGAAACTGTTTTTGTGAAATATTTATGGTTTTAACAAAGAGTAAAGTTTATATAATGCTCACGTAGGGACTGAAAGTTTGTAGTAAGTGTAATCAATAGTAACAGGTGTACTGTATTGGTAAATAATTAATGTATCACTTTATATAACTATCAGTAATGTGAGGGTAGATGGTACTGTATACAACACACTACAGGTATACCTGACATACATGGTACAGGTATACAACACACTACAGGTATACCTGACATACATGGTACAGGTATACCTGACATATGGTACAGGTATACAACACACTACAGGTATACCTGACATACATGGTAGAGGTACTGTATACAACACACTACAGGTATACCTGACATACATGGTAGAGGTACTGTATACAACACACTACAGGTATACCTGACATACATGGTACAGGTATACAACACACTACAGGTATACCTGACATACATGGTAGAGGTACTGTATACAACACACTACAGGTATACCTGACATACATGGTAGAGGTATACAACACACTACAGGTATACCTGACATACAGGGTAGAGGTATACAACACACTACAGGTATACCTGACATACATGGTAGAGGTATACAACACACTACAGGTATACCTGACATACATGGTAGAGGTATACAACACACTACAGGTATACCTGACATACAGGGTAGAGGTATACAACACACTACAGGTATACCTGACATACATGGTAGAGGTATACAACACACTACAGGTATACCTGACATATAGGGTAGAGGTATACAACATACTACAGGTATACCTGACATATAGGGTAGAGGTATACAACATACTACAGGTGTACGTCACTGTATACCTAACATACATAAGTACAGTGTTGAGTGAAACAAAGTATAGCACACATAAGTGTACAGTAGACTTATTCAAGATAAGCTGAAACCCTTTTGGAGGTCAGGGGTTTCTCTCAGCTGAATAAAAACATTTGGTCTTATCCAGGAAAAAATACCCAAGTTTGCCACTGACCTCTAAAGGGTTAATGGTATAAATAGAGGTTATACCTGTATATCTGGTTAATGTTTTATATTATTGTAAGGATGAAACCTATGTCTGTGTGATAACAGTTACCCGAGATAAATATGTAAAATTATTCTAACTTGGCCAGTAAAAGGGTTTGTTATTATTGAGAAATTTGTTTATGGAACAAGGAGTAATGGTATTACCCAGCATGCTCTGTGACGGAGGTGAGGTGGCGTGCTGGGTTTGGGATGCGGGGAAGAACGTGCCGCACGGTATGTCCTACAAGTGGACAAAATATTGAAGACTTTAGTATTAAGATGGCCAAGAGTGGCATCAGAGAATATGTTGACATTTGTAGGTGGAACTGTACTGTACATACCTGCACCTATTAAAGAGAACAACCTACAAGATCGATTTTCTCTCTCCCCAACACTAACTGCCTGAAATAACTTGTCACCATCACCCAATAAGTGACCCATGATCACCTCACCTCTGAGGTGGGGTAAGCCAGCACCCCTGACAATTACTGTGTGTGAGAATTAATATGTTATTGGCAAGACACTGGTGGCTGGGCCAGGCTGGTCTAACCGTAGTGATGTTGCGATCAAAGAGGAATTGTGTTTACCTAGTGTTAGGTCTTAAGAGGTTATAACAGTAAATATTTATACCTCCTGTTAAAAAATATGTAACAATGGGTTCATGAATAGCAAGTGTTCCTCTCAAAACGAAGCTGTGGTGGAATGTGTGAAAAGATCCAGTGGTTGCTGTGAGGGCAGTGTGTTGACTGACAGTGGTTGATGTGAGGGCAGTGTGATTGACTGACAGTGGTTGATGTGAGGGCAGTGTGATTGACTGACAGTGGTTGATGTAAGGGCAGTGTGATTGACTGACAGTGGTTGATGTGAGGGCAGTGTGTTGACTGACAGTGGTTGATGTGAGGGCAGTGTGTTGACTGACAGTGGTTGATGTGAGGGCAGTGTGTTGACTGACAGTGGTTGCTGTCAGGGCAGTGTGTTGACTGACAGTGGTTGATGTGAGGGCAGTGTGTTGACTGACAGTGGTTGATGTGAGGGCAGTGTGATTGACTGACAATGGTTGCTGTGAGGGCAGTGTGTTGACTGACAGTGGTTGATGTGAGGGCAGTGTGATTGACTGACAGTGGTTGATGTGAGGGCAGTGTGATTGACTGACAGTGGTTGATGTAAGGGCAGTGTGTGGACTGACAGTGGTTGATGTGAGGGCAGTGTGTTGACTGACAGTGATTGTTGTGAGGGCAGTGTGTTGACTGACAGTGGTTGATGTGAGGGCAGTGTGATGACTGACAGTGGTTGATGTGAGGGCAGTGTGATGACTGACAGTGGTTGATGAGGCTGTGTGTTGACTGACAGTGGTTGATGCTAGGGCAGTGTGTTGACTGACAGTGGTTGATGCTAGGGCAGTGTGTTGACTGACAATGGTTGCTGTGAGGGCAGTGTGTTGACTGACAGTGGTTGATGTGAGGGCAGTGTGTTGACTGACAGTGGTTGATGTGAGGCAGTGTGTTGACTAACAGTGGTTGTTGTGAGGGCAGTGTGTTGACTGACAGTGGTTGTTGTGAGGGCAGTGTGATGACTGACAGTGGTTGATGCTAGGGCAGTGTGATGACTGACAGTGGTTGATGTAAGGGCAGTGTGTTGACTGACAGTGGTTGTTGTGAGGGCAGTGTGATGACTGACAGTGGTTGTTGTGAGGGCAGTGTGATGACTGACAGTGGTTGTTGTGAGGGCAGTGTGATGACTGACAGTGGTTGTTGTGAGGGCAGTGTGATGACTGACAGTGGTTGCTTAACTCCTTTTGGAATTCCTCCCAGTTGGACCGGCTGTAGCTGTAACTCATCCTGGCAGGGATCTGTATTGGCGACGTGGAGAGTGTGGCTACGATAGGGAGATGGTCACTGGTGGTTATTGGGCCGGGTTCCATTTGCAGGTCAAGATGGTGATGCTGGTTTGTTAGTACTATGTTTGGATGTCCGATTTGACCTGCTCTGATGTATGTGGGGAATTCCGGGCCAAGGTGGACGGTATGTGTTATATAATTCGCTTGCTCTCTGTGGGATCCATGCTAAGACATTATGTTGGATTATTTTAAGCTTATTTATTATGAAGGCTGGTGCCTAGAGCTGGTTTGTGCCATTTTTGCTGACCGGTGCTCCCCTGACAGCCTCCTGTCCAGGCCCAGGCGGATCTTTTTATATGTTGTCTGATCAACTCTCTCTATTCTGTTGTGTCTTGTGAGTATTCTTCCCTTCTTGATTAGTGTTTCAATATGTGTGTCATCTAGGTCTTTGTCTGAGTATGTGTATTTAATCTTGCCTTGCCTTATTTCTGCCAATAGTCTTTCTGTTGAGACTATGGGGGAGCTGTAGTGAAGTAAAATCGAATACCAGTTTCATGCCCTAGGTCTTTGTTCTCCGTGGTCTCTCTGGGAGCAGGTGGTGCCATAGTTCCTGCTTGATTCTTTTTTTGGGTGTTGACTCTGGCGGCTTGTTCTGTTATTGTGGTGGTTTCATCTTCGCTTGCGTCTTCCATCGATTCTTCCTCGCTTGCTGGCTCGGGTTGTATGCCTGAGGTAGTCTGTTCTTGAGTTGATGGTTCGTGAGTTGATGGTATTTGAGTTGCAGTGCTCTCTGATTTGTAAATTAAGTTGAAAATTTCAGTAGAAGGAACATCGTTTGGGAATTCCATGTCTGGCAGGTTGTTGGCGGCGAACATGTCCCTTGCTGCCTTGGCAAAAGTTCCAGGTCTGGCTATATTCATGATGTGGGCGTGGATTATGGAGGTCATTATTTTTACGGAAAGATTATTTCCAAGCTGAAGCAAAATAGGTTGGTTTGCGGGGGGTGGTGTGGTGACTTTTTCGAGGATCTTTGTCGTTTCTCTGGTTAGTTTTGTCACAGCTGAATATGTCTTGTTTTGCTGTTCCTGTGTCTTCTCCCTCTCCTTCTCCTTCTTTTGGTTGACTATTGCTTTTCGTATGGGGCAGCGAGTAGCCAGTGTTCTATGATTTCCTTCGCAGTTTAGGCATTAGGCATTTGGGATTATCTTTGTTTTTGCACTCTCTAAAGGTGTGCCCCTTATTCCCGCATTCTGAGCAATGCTTGGTGTCCTTGTTAGGGCAGTCTGTAGCCAAGTGTGAGTATTGGTAACAATTCCAGCATGGAATAATGGGGAAGAATTCCTCCTGCTCCACCTGGCTGCTGCTGACATGGTAGTAGGAGAGACAAAGTCCCTCCTGGATTGCTTTTTGGGCCATGGCTATTTCCGTGAATCGTATTTTGAACATGGATGGCAGTCTGGGCAGCTTGACCACTTCCTCCACCTTGGCCCATTCGTTTTTGTCTTCTATATCAGATACCAACTGCTGTTCACGTGATTCTTCGGTGATTGCTTTATCTAGTCGTTTGACCACAATTGATTTCCTCTCTCGGAGTTGAGGAGGGACTGCAACTTCAAATTTTGCTGACTTGAGTTTCCTTGTGCTGTCGTTCGATAAGAGTAAGTTGACATCATTCTCAGTCAGGCACAGGGCGATGAAGGAGTCCTTGGTCGTGATGAGGTTGGATATTTTGATGAGTAGGGTTGCAGTGAGGAGTCTTGCCAATTCGGTTTTTCTCTCGTCAGTCCCTTCATGGGAGTGTATCCATACCCGGTGTGCCCTCATTCCAGAGAGTATGTGGTGGACATGCCACCCTTGCGTGGTTTGAGATTGGAGACCTACCTATTCCAGGACAGGAGTTTGTTACATTAGTTACAACACTCCCCACCGCCACTTGTTGGTCGGGTGGTCGTAGAGTGGTTCCCGCAACTCTGTCCCAGAAGCCCCGTCAGGGGATCCTACTTCCCTAGTGTTAATGAATGCTCACTTATAGACGTGAGCTAGTGTACCTAATTAGGGGGGGTAGGGATTCAGGATTGCGACCCCCTTCCCAGGTGGACCCGCACGATCACGGATACCTAGGAAGGCATGGCGGAGGGATAGGTAGTGCTCCTGCCCCCTTTCTTGTTCACAAACTCCTGGGAGGGAGGTGAACAGTTACAGGGGGGACCCAAGGACGAATACACCTCTAGGGTGCAGGTCCCCAGGCCAGAGCGAAAAAGAAGGAAGATCAAGAAAAGCAGCCACTGGTGCAAGTAATACCAGTGGGATCGCGGCCCAGGTCCACTGCAGAAAGCCGTTACAGATCTCCCAATCAGGGCTGCCTCTGATCAGGAGTCACCCCTGATCAGTGGAGAGGCACAGAAAGGGCGTTG